GGCCCACAACTGAAAAAAAAAATGGGATTTTAGCTGGTGTTGGTAGCCTACATCTGTAATTTTAGCTAATGAGGTGCAAGGATTGTGATTTGAAGGCAGCCCAGGCAGGAAGAAAAAGATAAAGTTGTGGCTTAAATGGGCAAAAAGCAGCATAGGGACAACACCCAGCCCTGATTTGAAGCCTAAAGATTGGGCGGGGGTGGAGGGAGGTGGGAGGGTGCAGAAAGGGATTTTAGGCTGGGTGTTGGTGGCTCACATCTGTAATACTAACTCCTCAGGAAGCTGAGATCTTCAGCTCAAAGCCAGTCTGGGTAGAAAAGTGTGAGACATCTCCAATTAAGCAGCAAAAAACTGGAAATGGAGGTGTGGCTCAAATGGTAGAAAAGAATAAGCCAAGGGAGAGCACTAGGCCCTGAGTTCCAACCTCAGTACCAGCACACGCGCGCGCACGCACACACACACACACACACACACACACACACACACACACACCCCCCAATGGAGGAGGTTGTGCTGGGTGTGTCAATGTCAGCACTATGTACACTGGGGTCTAGATGACTCATTGGTATAGAGAACAATCCTATAAACTGTAGGATGTTTAGCAGCCATCATTTCTATGCATTCAGGTTGTAGCAATGCCACCTAACATGCCAATCAAAGAGGAAAGTACCTTAGTTGAGAACTGTTACGTGTTGGAGAAAATGGATTCAATTCTGGGCACACAGTGTTTTAGGTACTTGCAAGACATTTAAGAGGAAATGTCAAGACAGACTTGGACTTAGAGATTTGGAGCCCCCAAACAAGAGTCTGGGCTGATGATTACTTGTGTGGAAATTACAAGCCTGTAACCAACCTTACCAGAGAGCCTAAAATATAAGCACCATATGTATTTAGCACATTGTGATTTCTCAAATTCCCCCTTAATACAGATGCACCTAGATGTTTATGTTTCTTGTTGTTGACTTTAATGCCAGCACATATGGGAAGGACAAAAAGACAGACAGAGAGAGAGAGAGAGAGAGAGAGAGAGAGAGAGAGAGAGAGAGAGAGAATGTGTGTGTGGGGATTGCAGGGATCAGGTATCACTGATCTATTGTTAGCTGTAGTTTAAGGGACAGAGAGAGGTCTGAAATCAGTGGAATTTTTTCACTTGATGTTACTGAGGTTTGAACTCAGGACCTTACAGTTATTAGGCAGCCAGCTTTCTCTCCCGCTCCTCCCTTCCTTCCTTTTTTCTTTCCTTTTCTCTCCTTTTTCTTTCTCCTTCCTTTCCTTCCTTCCTTCCCCCATCTCTCTCTCTCTCCTTCCTTCCTTCCTTGCTTCCTTCTTCTCTTTTTCTGTCTTTCTCTCTTCCTTTTTCTTGCCACTATTGGGGCTTGAACTCATGGCCTCATGTTCTTGCTTAGCTTTTTCACTCATGGCTGGAGCTTTACCATTTAGGCTATAACTCCAATTCCAGGTTTTTGTTGGTTAACTAGAGATAAGAATTTTGAGAGCTGGGAAGGTGGCTCAGTGGTAGAGTGCTTGCCTTGCATGCATGAGGCCCTGGGTTCGATTCCTTAGTACTACATAAGCAGAAAAAGCTGGAAGTGGTGGTGTGGCTCAAGTAGTAGGGTGCTGGCCTTGAGCTGAAGAGCTGAGAGACAGCGCCCAGGCCCAGAGTTCAGGTCCCATGGCCAGCAACAACAACAACAAAAAAGAATTTTGTGCACTTGGTCTTCCCAGACAGGCTTTGAACCTCAATTCTCAGATCTCAGCTTCCTGAGGTGTAGGATTAACATGAGCCGTTGGCAACTGGCTACCTCAGCCTTTTTATGCTTAAGTTATTTTTCACATAGAGTCTCATGCTTTTTTGCCTGGGACTAGCCTTCGATCATGTTCTGCCCCTACTGTTGCCCCTATTGTGGCTGGAATGACAAGTGCATGACACCCCACACCCAGCTTATTGATTGAGATGGGGTCTCATTAACGTTTTGCTCTGGCTGGCATCAAACATGACCCTTACATCTTTAACTCTTTGATAGCTGGTGTTCTAGGAATGTTATCACCATGCTTGGCATCAGTGAACTTTTTAAAAATAAACAATACACTTTTATGAAAGTCAATTGTTAAAATTCCATAAATTTAAGAACAGGGGATAAAACCCAGCAGATAACTTCCAAGGGGAGAGAAAGGACTTCTCTGGGTGCTTGAACTGGTGCTCAGTGGAGCTCGGGGGTTTCTGTGTCTACCTCCACATGCAAAGTTGTGCTCCCAAAGTTGTTTCATTGGAAGCAAACTGGGCTATCTCTGCTGGAGCTAAGTTGCCCTCTGCAGGGAAAGGCGGGTCTGTATCTACGGGAATCTGTAGAGCCTGCAAGATCTCTAGGGCAGTGAGGACGTTCCCAGATTGGAGGTCTATTTCTCCTAAGGGACACAGTCAGCTTCGAGATGGAGGTCGGCTCTCGTATGGACTGCCTCCAGATGTCAGCCACTGGTGGAAGCGGATTTTCTTCCCAGGCGGTGGTGAGAGACACCTCATGATGCCCAAGTGCTTTAGGTAGGATGGGCCTGCATCTTCTTCCTCTGGGGAAAGACCACCCACAGATCCAGGCCCGCGGAACTGCGTTGTGGCCCTTCATCTTCTGACACCGGTGCTGGGGAGGAGTCTGTCTCCAGTGCCGTGAACAAGAAATGCTCGGTGGAGCCGCAGCCGGCCCTGCAGGCGGAGGTCGCTCTTCCTCGGTGCGCACGGAGAGGCCCCTGCACTGCGCCCTGGGTGGCTCAGCGGCCGCTCCTCCGCGGGGAGGGCGCAGCCCGCGGGGCGTCCACCGCACCGGGCGCCTGGGCTTGGGTCTGGGTCGGGGGTGGATGCAGGGTCGGCGGGCGTCCACCGGGCGCTCTCTCCACCAGCTCCCGCAGTTGGAACCAGTACAAATTGGAAGACAATGGCTCTTTCCTTGCTGTCTCTGGATGAGTTTGCAATGGAGGCCGCCTCTGGAATGTGGCTGCCTGGAGTCCTGGGTTCCAAGTTCCCTTTGGTCTTCTGTCAAGGCTGAGGTCACTTCTTGGGGTGCTCTTACCTAAGCCCCCTCCCCCATCATGACCCCAACGAAGTCCCCCTGGGCTTCTGACCAACCCCTAATGAGATGTTCTCTATGTGCACAAATGGACATGGTTTTACCAATATACCCCACCATCCATGTAAAGGCCGGGTCCAGTCAGTGCCTCTGTTTTCAGGAGACAGGGGAATGCAGACTATTCAATATCTAGGTTTTTGGATATTGTCGTGTGTGCAGTGGTCCCCAAGGCTTGGTGGTGTTATTAATACACAAAATTAGAGGGAAAATTATCACAGTAAATGAGTTAAAAGAACAACTTCTTCACCTAGAGAGACACATGGGGAAATGGAAACACATACATTCATCCACATGTGAACTTTTGAAATTCATCCTGGTTCATAATTTTCCTTGCCTCTGGTCAAGACTTTATTATTCTAATCTTCTTTTAGGATTCTTTTGTTAGCGTTCAGTTCAAAAGACATGTAATTCTCAGAAGATTTATAACCTTTTATAACATGGTATAAACCTTTTTTTTTTTTAAATAGCATAATGCTAAGAAGTTCTTCTTCTTCTTCTTTCATTTTCATCTTGGGTCGCTGGTTCTGGGGCTTGACCTCGGGGCCTGGGTGCCTCTCCTTAGCTTTTCCACTCAAGGCTGACACTCTACCACTTGCGCTACAGTTCCACTTCCAGCTTATTAGTGATTAGATGGAGATGAGAATCTCACAGACTTTCCTCTCCAGTCTGGCTTCAAATTTCAATCCTCAGATCTCAACCTCTGGAGTATCTGGGATTACAGGCACAAGCCACTGACACCTGGCTAATTTCTCCTTATTATAGAGTTAAGGAAGGAAACAGGGTTCCAGAATGGATCAGGGGATTATTTGAAGAGGAGACTCCAGCACCACAGTAGTTATGTATAAAAGAGGCAGACAACTTGTAGTTAATACAATAATTTTTTGCGTGCTTTCTGCCAACTGCTTTTCTATACAATGTTGTGACAAGTATAACTTCAGTTCATTCTAGAACAAAACACAGTATTTGTCAACGTAATTATCCCATAAGGCAACATACTTATTTAGTGACTGATAAGTTTCCAGAATCTGCCTATCAGGGAAGAATGAGACAATTAATGGTTCATCAGATTGCCATCCTCTCAAAGCTCAAATCCCCCATGTTGCCTCTTGAATAAACCAAACAGACATGAATTGGAAATCATGTGGAACACCAACAGCTGTTTCTAAATTATACACATAATCATGGTAAATTCTACTTGCAGTACGCCTGGAAATAAAAAACCTGATAGAATTTAGCTACTCACTGGGGATTCCATGTGGGTTTGGGATTGGCTTTCCAAAAGCTGTCAGTAGCAACAGTGCCAGTTCATATTGTAGAACCCCGGCTGTGTTTGTCAGTTTTCCATTACTGTACAAATCACCTGAGGAAATCAGCTTAAGGCTCAAGGCTTTGGAGGTTTCTGTTCGTGGTTGCTTGGCCTTACTGCTTTGGGCCCTGGTGAGGCAGAATAAAATGATGGAAGAGGTGGCAGAAGAAATCTGCTCAGCCTCAAAACAGAAAGAAAGCACACGCAAGGGGATGTACCCTGCTGGCCTCAGTTCCTCCTGCCAGACAGCACCTCGCAAAGTTTACTTTGTCTTCTGATGGCTTCATGGACCCTTGGGGTACATTTATGAACCAAACTATAAAATACATTGTTTTTCATATATGCAGCAATGGTGATAATAATAAAAGTATAATAAGCAAGCAAATGTAAAGTTTATATCTTAGCCCTCTGAAAAATGGATGCTTTTCAGGTCTTTGGAGACACTTAAATCCTTGGAAAAATTATGAAATAGGCCTAGTATTTCCCCCCATATCCTTCATTCTCTCCATCATGTGCTCATGTGTTATACTGTATCAGTTACTTCAGGCTGCCATAACAAAACACTGTAGACAGAGTGGCTGAAAGCAACAGAAATTTATTTATTTATTTATAACTCTGGAACTGAATATCCAGAACTGAGATGCTGCTGGCAAGGTTGGTTTTTCCTACAGCCTTTTTTTTCTTGGCTGGAAGATAGCTGACTTCTTGCTGGGTTTCTTGTGACATTTTCTTTGTGTGGGAGCACAACTTTGCCCTTATTTTATAAGGACACTAGTTATATGAAATTAAGACTCCATCCTTAATATTTAATTTGATCTTAATCACTTTTATAAAGTTCTCATCTCCAAAAATAACTTTAAGAGTGAAGGGGCTAAATTCAATTCTATCTCTCTATCTCTGTTTCTCTGAGTCTGTCTGTCTGTCTCTCTTTGTTTCTCTTTTGGTAACAGAATTGGGGCTTGGACTCCGGGCTTGGACTCATTAACGTTTTTCACTGTAGCCTGGTGCTCCACCCCTTGAACCACAGCTTCAGTTCCCACTTTTTAGTGGTTTGATCCTTGATCCTCACATCTCAGCCTCTTGAGTAGCTGGGATTACAGGCAGGTGCTACCAGTGCCTGGCCTGGGCCATTTTCTCTGATTGGGAAGAAAGGGGGCATTGCCTGGAGTGTTTCCGGTGATTCACAGTATTGAGTCCATGCTGCAGGCTCACACCATTGACCCTAAAAGTCTCCATCAGAGGCTGGTATCAATCAGAGGCCCAGGCTCTTGCAGTATTTGCTTCCTTCTATTGATAGCATTAAGAACTTTCTTCCTGGGCCCTAACTGCATTCGTATATTCTGAAGGTCCTCGTCAGAGCAGAGCAACAGAGCTTCTAGATCAATCTGTTCTCTCATGAAAATGGGAAGGAATTCTTCCAGGTGCTGACACTGCAAGAACACTTCCAAGGGAGTGGCATTCACCACATCTTCTTCCCACTCAACTTCTTCCTCATCCCAGGGCAGGTCACCTCCCAGGCCATTTTTCTCTCCCTCTTCATCATCATCCTCAGCTTCATCAGCCTCTGCGGCTCCGTGTCTTTGGAACAAATCACTGGACATTTTAAATCCCAGCTCTCTCTTGCTGTCGTCGATATCTTCAGGGCTCAAGACACTGCTTCTTTTAAACACAATATTGCCTAGACCTGGACGGTTAAGAATGGACTCGTGCTGAGCTTCATTGTCCTCTTCCAGTGAGAAGTGGAGTTTCTCTTTGAAGTCACCAGAGACAGAATCTTCTTCTTCCTCTCTGAACACTTCCATCACATTCCTCTGCCCACTTCTGTCTCCCTTTCCTACCTGCTCTTCTGTATCTTTGCTCTTCTTGAATTTTAACTTGAAAGTGTCTTTAATGCCCTTAGACAGGGATCCAAATGTGCCAGGTACAGAAGCGTGGGACGTGGTTGACCTGGAGAAGGTGCCCTTGGAAGAGGACACCCCAGAATCCTCCTTGCTGTAAGTGCGAGTCATCTTATTTTGGTGTTTCTCTTGGAGTCTTGCACACTCTTTGATCTGCCTCTGGACATTCTTCTGGGCCTGCTCCTTCAACCTGGTGACTTTCTTGGGGTTCATGATATTCTGGGCAGTGGCAGCTTTATCCAGGAGAGCAACGCATTCATTCTGCTCCCTGCTGGCTGCGGCATCCAGTGGAGACTGCAGGTCATTGTCTAGGGCAAAGATATTGGCTCCGAAGTTGATCAGGAACGAGACACAGTGGGCATGGCCGTTGGACGCTGCATAATGCAAAGGAGTGTTTCCCCAGATGTCGCATCTGTCAGCATCACCCCTGAAAGGGAAAATAGGAAGGATGCAGGGTAAATATTTTCTCTGAACACGAGGTTCCCAAAAGATAAATTAAAAACAATGAAGAAAAAGCTGGATGCTGGTGGCTCCTGCCTGTCATCCTAGCTACTTAGGAGGCTGAGATCTGAGGATTGTGATTTGAAGCCAATCCAGGCAGGAAACTCCTTGAGACTCTTATTTTGAATAAACTATCAAAAAGCCAGACATGGAGCTGTGCCAAAGGTGATAGAGTGTTAGCTTTGAGCAAAATAAAAGCTCAGGCCCTGAGTTCAAGCCCTAGGATTGCACATACGGAAAATAAAGGAGGAGGAAAAGGAAGAGAAGGAGGAAGAGGAGGAGGAGGAGGAAGAGGAGGAAAGGAAGAAGATACATGTTAGTGGAGGTGTATTTTCCTGGTGTTAATGTATAATAGCTGCTATAAGTCTTTATATGTCACAGCTAGAGACCAAATAGCATCAAACATTTTATCCCATGGTTTCTTTGTATGAGCAAACCCTGCCCCATAACTTTCTAAAAAATTCCATAACTAAGCAACTTTTGTACCTTATTGGGCAGAATTGGGGCCACATGCCATGTTTAATTTGGATCAGTTAGAATTTGCTTCTAAAGCTAGTGATAAAATTGCCCAGGGGAATACTGGTAAATGCTGAACAACTGGCACTCAAAATGATCAAAGCTCTGCTTTATACCAAGGATCAATTACTGTAGTGTAAATATTCTACCATGACACATTTTAAGTTAGCAAAGCAACCCACAAAGTTAGCAATGCAATGCACATAATTTGGAAGAGATGAGCAATAGCATACTAATATAAATTATTATGCACTGGTGGCTTCATGCCTATAATCCTAGCTACTCAGGAGGCTGCGATCTGAAGATGGAGGTTTGAAGCCAGTCCAGGCAGGAAAAGTCTGTGAGAATCTTATCTACAACGTACACTAAAAAGCTAGAAGTAGAGCTATGGATAGTGATAGAGCACCAGCCTTGAGTGAAAAAGCTCAGATACAGTGTGCAGACCCTGAGTTCAAGACTCAGTGTTGGCATGTTCTCACACATGTACATACAACTGCTTGTATTCAGACCACCAGTAGCAGCATTAAGCTATGATTTGATTATATATGCAGAACTAGGGGCTTCAGACTAGACTCACTGAATCTGAACTTATAATTTAACAATTGATCCATAAGCTTGCAATGGGTTTGGAATGGTTCCATTAATTAATGTGGCCCAACCACATGGTAATCAAATTTGTAACTCTTCCCTGACTACCTTGCACTTTTCAGTTATGAAACACTTCCATGTTCACTGCCCAACACCAGCCATCACAATCTCCTGCTTAGAGAAGGAAGGCAAGAATCGTTATGACAAAAAGTAAGGCTCAGGGAGTGTAACTGATTTCTAAACGGGTAAGGGTTTTGTTTTGATTTTGCAGTGCTGGGGATTGAATTCTAAGCCTTGCACATGCAAAGCTACTACTGAGCTCCATCCCCAGCTCAACAGACAGCACATTTTGGATCAGTCCTGCCTCTTAGTTTATCTCCAACACAACAGTCTTATACCTTGCCACTTAACCGGCTACAAGTCACTAGCTTAACTCTTCTAGGTAATTCCATGAATTCCCTCATCTGTATACTGAGGATATAAATACTACTATTTATAGTTGCTACATGAACTAATAAGCCTATCTATTTATGTCATAGCAAAGGGCTTACTCCACAGTACACAGTCAATAAACATTAGTTATGATCATATCCCTCACCTCTCTAAACTCATAGTCCATAAATTCACAGGCTTGTTTTTTCTAGTCCTCCAGGAAATTTCCAGCAGCACAATGGTTCTTGTGGTTTTAGCACTGCTAGTCTTATCTAACTGGCCAAGTATTTATGCTCTGCCTTGGCATTTCTAATTAGATAATTGGCCTGAGAAAGCAAAGGCTGTGTTTTCTCTCCCTTTTATCATCTTTATCTCCTATTAGAAATCTCAGACCCATGGGCTGGGAAGGTGGCTCAGTGGTAGAGTGCTTGCATTGCATGCCTGAAGCCCTGGGTTCGATTCCTCAGCACCACATACACAGAAAAGGCCAGAAGGGGCGCTGTGGCTCCAGTGGTAGAGCGCTAGCCTTGAGCTGAAGAGCTAAGGGACAGAGCCCAGGCCCAGAGTTCAAGCCCCACGACTGGACCCTCCCCCCCCCCCCCCAAAAAAAAGAAAAGAAATCTCAGACCCAACTCAGAGAAGAAGCTAATCTGGCTATGTAAGTAGTTGAATGGGACCAGGTTTGTTCTTCAACAAGACTACAGTTAATTTGTGTGTATATATCTGCCTATGACTCTATCTATATATGCTTACAATTTAGATCTAACATCTGAGTATAAGAGAAAACATGCGTCCTGTTTCTGAGACTGACTTAACGTAATTTTTTCCAGGTCCATCCATTTCTCTGCAAATGACATAATATTAATCTTCCTGATAGATGAGTAAAATTCTATTGTGTATATACATACACATAGTTTATTGGTATCTCTAGGGCATTTGTGGCTATGGTGACTAATGCAGCAATGAACATGGGTGTGCAAGTGTCCTTATGGCATCCTGACTTGCAATCTTTTGGATATACGCCCAAGTATGAGCTATACAGGAAAGGTGTCATAGTACACACAGGGGAAGAGTCCAAAGGCATAATTCCTAGGGACACTGAACTTAGAGTTTAACAAAATGAATATTATGGGAATGGAGGTGCGCAGCTCAAGTGGTAAAGCACTAGTCTTAAGCAAAAAAGCTAAGAGGCAATGGATCAGGTGCTGAATTCAAGCCCTAATACCAGCACATACACACAAATGAATACTAGGAAGCTGAAGACCTATTGTTGGAGGTGGGGGGGGGGGAGTTTAAGAGGAGAGGAGGGCAGAGGAATAGTTAAAAGAAGGATGGGGAAAAAGCCATAATATCAAATGTACTTATGTAAAAATGGGACCTGCAAATTTGAGGAGAAGGGTGGGGATGGGACACAAGGAGAACAATTAAATGGGTAATATCAGTCAAGATGCATTGTACTTATCATCTGACATGTTGAATTAAAGCCTTTTTATATAACCAATGAAGGATAATAACAGATAAATAAGTCTGGTACCAGTGGCTCACACCTGTAATCCTAGCTATTCAGCAGGCTGAGATCTGAGAATTGTGGTTCAAAGCCAGTCCCAGATGAAAGTCTTCGAGGCTTTTTATCACCATTTAACCACAAAAAGCTGGAAGTCCAGCTGTGGTGCAAATGGGAGAGTGCCAGCCTTGGCACAAAAGCTCTAGGAGGCTGGGCGCCAGGGGCTCACGTCTGTAATCCTAGCTACTCAGGAGGCTGAGATCTGAGGACCACGGTTCAAAGCCAGCCCAGGCAGCAAAGGCCATGAGACTCTTATCTCCAATAAACCACGAGAAAACTGGAAGTGGCGCTGTGGCTCAAGAGGTAGAGCGCTCACCTTGAGCTGAAGAGTGCAGGGACAGCGCCCAAACCCAGAGTTCAAGCCCCCAGAGTTCAAGCTCTAGGAGTTCAAGCCTCAGGACTGGAAAATAAATAAATAAATATAAATTAGAAAAAAAGGTTGGAATTAGAACATGTTCCTAGAAAGGACCTACCTTGAATATTGTCAGAGCTTTTATTTTTAAAATGAAACCATCAATCTGTAATTTTATGAAATTAGACGAACAAAAAAAGTTAGCCAGGTACTGCTGACTCATGTTTGTCATCCTAGCTACTAGAAGACTGAGATTTGGTGGTTTACACCTATAATCCTAGCTACTTCAGGAGACTGAGATCTGAGGATCAAAGTTCAAAGCCAGCTTTGGCAGGAAAATCCTGTGAGACTCTTTATCTCCAGTTAACCAGCAGAAAACCAGAAGTGGACTTGTGGCTCAAAGTGATAGAGTGCTAGTGTTGAGCAAAAAGAGCTCAGGGCCAGTGCTCAGGCCCAGAGTTCAAGGCTTATAACTGACAGAAACCAAACCAAACCAAACCAAACCCCCCCACAAAACTCAAAACAAACAAAACAACAACAACAACAAAAAAAGTTTTCTGGGGCAGCCTCTTTCAAGAAGACTATGTTCAGTCAGCTCAGTTTAACTATTTTGAATCAAAAGGGTTCATTTGCAACCTTGGCAAAGTCATAATATCTTAGAGAAATCAAGTTCCTCACCCACAAACACTCATGTAATTTCACTTTTTATTTTAACCAAACACCAAAATCAAATACCCTAGACATCAAAGGACTCAAGTGTCCAAGATACTACTATAGACATAAACAAAAACATACTGATCAAAAACATACTTGAAATTATCCTTGAATTGCATGCGCTAACCAAAAAAATTACTGGGAGACTAAGTTGTAGGAAAAAGTGACAAGGTATTATAAAGTCTGAGCAAAATCAGTATGCTTAAGGGCATTAACTAGTGGAATTTCCCCTTCTAAAGGATTATAAACAACACTTAAAATGGGAGGAAGAGGCAGGGCACTGTGGCTCGTAGATATTCAGGAGGCTGAAATCTGAGGATCCTGGTTCAAAGACGACGTAGGAAAATCCATGAGATTCGTATCTAATTAGTCATACAGAAGTGGAGTTGTGGCTCAAGCGGTAGAGCATCAGCCTTGAACAATAATACTAAGGGACAGTGTCTAGGCCCCGAATCCAAGCCTTAGCACTAGCATAAAATAAAATACATAAAGAAAATGGGAAGAATATGAGGAAAGTCTGAGGTGTCTGTATTTTTTTTTCGTGGAGTAGTACCCGATGCTTTTGCTCATTGGCAAGTGCGCTACCAACTGAGCCATGCCTCTAACCCTTGTTTAGGTTATTTTTCAGGCAGAGTCTCATTTTCTCTCTGGTAGCTCTACACCTCCAGTAGCTGGGATTATAGGTGTGTGTCAGGAGTGCTATCTTGAAAAAGACATACAGTCTTTTTCATTGGGTGGTCCTCAAATGTCATCTTTTAGA